TTATTTGTTCCTAGCATTAAGTGCTTAATTTGAAATTTTATTGTTTAAAGATGCTGGCTAGGCTCAAGAGGTGATACCCCCTCACTGGAGTTGTGTTTAATAACCTGATGATTCTCGATCTGAATTGCTTATTTGGATGAGGAATCAGTCAAAGCTGAACCGGTTTTGGGATAGTACAAGTTTTTGCCCATTCCCCCCCTAAATTTTTACTATTTTAATTTCTATTTTATTTTTAAATTTTTAAATATTATTGGATCACTGATTTGTGATAATCTAGACTAATCCATGACGTCGATGTAATAAATTGACATAGATCTGAACGATCCACCCCATCTTATAAGTTTTGAAACACCATCTTGGAGTCTTAAAAATATAGGTTCAACATGTATAATGTGTCAACTTTAAACAATTAAAAATATAACGTGCCTCCAAATCATATCGGAATATATATAATTTAAATGCCTAAAATCCCACCATGGCCTTAAAAATTATTTCCCCCTTAATTATTAGATTTTAAACTCAAAAAATAGTACAAATAAAACAAATATCTAAATATTATAACTTATTTAAAATAGATAGTTAAAATAATATATGGGATTGTATATAATGAGACCATCAAGGTGTCATAATTCCTTACAACCATTTAATGTGAAGTTTGATAGCTTGGATGTGTCACAAAGTTTGAAAAACTTTATTTGAAGTTTGAGCTTGGTCAATGAAATAATTGTAGCCACCTAATTTCACATCTAATAGTCAAAATTATTGTGACTATCTTGTATCAAAAGTAAATTGTCTCATTTTATACTTTTCCATAATTAATTACATGATGCACTATTTTTAATACTTGAAAATTTTATTTTCGTATATTGAGGTCCAAGTGAGCAATTAGAAGGTTTTTAGTGTTGATATGGTAATTTTCAATTATTTTCAAGGTGGGCATTGTATAAACTTTTTCCTAAAAATATATACCATCAACTTGAGTCCAAACATAATAGGCCAAGGACTGGACCTCCATTTGGGTATGGGGCAAAAAATTAGAACACCATTAAGGTTTAGATCTGATAATATTTTTTCGATCCCAATATATGAAATACATATAAATACATAGATATTTCAATTTTTTGGGTCGATCCAATAGGGTTTGGGTCTAGGTCCGAGGTCCATATCATTTTTTTAGGTCCGGCTGGACTAGACCTGACCCATTGCCACACCTAGACCTGAGAGGGAAATGATAACATGCTCTCTCAAGACAATAGATATTTTAATTTTTGAGTTGGTCCGATAGCGTCCAGGTTCTATTGGGTCCGGGTCTGGGTCCCATATCATTATTTCGGATCCGGTGGGACCCGGACCCGACTCGACCCATGACACGTAGGCCCGAGAGGGCAAATGATATCATGCTCTCGCGGGACCAGAAAAACTTCCCATTTTTTAACTGTTATTTTACCGGAGGCGTAGATCTTGGGTAAATCTTTGATGGCAGGCGGCGCCAGAGATTGGACATCCGGAAAATCACATAAAATTAAAAAAAAGAACACGTTTCCCATTTCCCGAAATGCCCCTTTTTCTGATGCCCATGATTATAATGAATAAAGCAAAGGACTGGTAAAAAATTAAATTAATTTTCAAAATAGGGAGTAAATGTTCAATAGCGCCCCCACCAATTCAGGTAATGACGTTTTACTGTTTCATTCAAATATAGGAGGTTCGCATGCATGTAAGTCCAATGGTCTTGGATATGGGGACTTGACAATTTGTTGGACACGGTTTCTACGAGTCCATGTAGAAATCAGTTCACTTTTAAAAAATTATTTTTGAGATGGATTTTCAGACTCAATTTTTAAGGACACGTAATCTCTAACATAGAGATCATGAATATAAATAAATAAATATATTTAAAAAAAATAAAAATAATGATTTTATGAAAAAAACATTTGGACCGATAGTTTCAATTGTTTTTAGATAGACGACCTGTTTGCATCTATTTTTAAGATAGCATATTGTAGACATGAAACAATTTTCCATATTTATTAAGATAGGGTTTTTATGAGTCGATCGATTGTACAGACCCGTTTGTTAGGATCGGTAACTTAATCATTATAGTCCCATATGACAAAGCTATACACACATTACTTCATTATTCCACATGCATTTTTTCATATTCCCTTTCACTCTTTCATCTTCCATATCCCCCCATCCCCCATTCTACAATCTTTTGCCTCTTTCACTGCATTTATTATTATTTTTAATATACTTATTTTGTACAATATTGTACTTTATGCTTATATTTTTAATCTTTAATTTATTTGTTAGGTTCATAGTTATTTTTTATCATTTCTCCTAATAAAAAGATCATAGGAGCATTATGTTTGTGCAAGTTCATTTTGTGAAGCTTGACAATTACGAAAAGAGGATGTATGTTTCTTTCAAGGTTATGCTAAAGAAAATGTACAAAAGATTGGTGATGTCATTATATTATTTGAACTTAATTACCTAGTTATTTTATGAAGTAATTGCTTTATTTATTTATTTATTCAATGTTTATACATTTATTTGAAAAATCCAATGCTTTTAAACACACGTGCACATGCATTCAACTAGTCCTAATAAAAATGTAATTTAAGGGTGATTGGGTGAGAAAAATCCTACCATGTTCTTGCTTTGAAAATTGTTTTAATGCGTGGTCTTGCTTTGCTAGATGGACGAAGTAGTCTTTGACTAAAAATATATGGGTAATTTCTTTTATTTTCCGCAAATAGCGGCGAACGTTACTAGTTTATTGCTAATGCTTCATTACAGTTAAGGTGAAATGCCTTTTAAAACTTACAAACCCAAATTACCCTTACCAATCATGGTCATTCCCTTCTCATCCTTCTTGGATTAAGGTGAGCTTGATTCTAAAACAAAACCAAAGACTGGATAGTGAGCATATTGTAGCATATGCTCCCCCTCTCTGAATGAACGTCCACCATCCAAGTTATAATGAATGGTAGAGATCCTTGTGAGGGGATGATAATCCCTAAGACAACCATTGCATGCTTTTAGGAAGCATGTTTTATTTCCCCAATAAAATATGCCATGCTTGCTAGCAAATGATATGTAGCACGTCCACATGCAAGCATCATTGTTCAAACCCATGCTAGATGGTCGGGATTGGATGAGAAGGAAATGATCCCCATCATCTATAATATCCCTAACGAAAAGTATATAAAGAGACTATTTATTTTGGGACTGTATACAATGAGACCATTTATCTTTGAAATAGGGAGGTTACAATTACTTATAGCCATCTGTTATGAAATCTGATAGTTTGGGAGTGTCGCAAAGTTCGAAATTTTTTTTTTTTTAACTTTGAGCTTAGTAAATGAAATAAATGCAGCAACCCAATTTCACATCCAATGGTCAAGATTTATTGTGACCACTTTGTACTTAAGATAAATGGTCTTATTATACACTTTCCTTTTTATTTTTTGTATAAAGAGGTCACTATTATTATTATCCATCAAATTTAAAATCAAATGGGTATAAATCTACTTGTAATTAAATTCAAAGCCAAAAAAAATGTTTTTTTTAACTTACACATCCCAAAGTCATGTGTAATAATTTTGATTGATTGTGATTTCTTTGTACCAAAAGCTAGACTGTCTCGTACTATACAATCCCTATATTTAGTATATTGTTTGCCCGCTGCGACTCCCATACATTCAAACACGATATGCACCTTGCTCTCATGGGATCATATTATACAATTACTCCCTCATGTAAGACTTACTTGCAAGTATTTTATATATTTAAACTTAAGGGGTCTATTTTAAATTAACAATATTAGTAACATTTTAAAAAGTCCTAAAGATACTCCTACAAAGGTTTTACACAAGGGAGTGTACACCCCGGGAAGCATATTTTTTTGGGCCAAACTTTGTAGAATGTTGGAGGCTAGATGCTCACTACGGTGCACAAGTACAACACTATCATAGAATATATTCCCCTATTGGGGATAAAAATGACCACCAAGTTTATAGCAATGCCACTAAATGTTTTCCAATAATCCACCCATGAAATGGGTAAATAGAGAAATGGTTGGAAACATTAGCTACTGATTTTTGGTTGAAAATTGCCAAGCTGATTTAGAATTGCATTAGTTGCCTCGAATTTGACGGCTCATTGGTTTCGAATAGATTTGATGAGTTGCCCAAGTTATCCAATAGTTGTCTTGGATTTGAAGGCTCATTGGTTTTGAATACCTTCGATGAGTTGCCCAAGTTATCCAAATTTGAGCAGTTCATTGCGGTGCCGGCCAATTCACGTGACAACTTAAGTGTGTCTCGAGTCGTTACCTAGGTCCCAAGGCACTTTTTAGTTAAAATTTATTTCGTTTTTTAACTATTTTAGGCATCCTACCTAGAATAGGTAAGCCAATCAAATACTTTTCGGCAGCCGGTTCGTGTTTTGTAAACAATGATTTACCTATATAGAGATTATTAAAACACATGGGTGGCCCAACCAGCCATACTTTTACAAATCCTCATCCATAAAGCACTTTGGGCATAAAAAGTCTTTATGGTAGTTTTAAAATTATTTTTAATATCGATTATGGAATTTAAAACTAAAAAAATAATACATATCTACAAGATCTATAAATTTTTTTTTTTGTTTAAAATTTTATTTATTTTTACAACCATAATGCCCAAGACTAAGATTATTGATTTGAAGGTTTTCTATTGATCTTACTTATTTTACTTATTTTGATAGAGTTGAAGGCTAATCAAAATATTTTGCTTTTCTTAAGAACCAAAATGCATGCCCTTTACACTAGGGCATAAAAGGCATTACAAGTTTCCAAGGGGCAATTCCCTCACCCTTAATCTAATTTATCTGACAAAAAGGGTGAAGAAAAAACACAGAATGAAAACAATAATTTTGTGATTTATTAGAAAAGGACAATGTGGATTGGAAGCCACAATACGTCATCCATAAATATAAATAACACAGTCTTTCTCTCTCTTATTAACAAGAGAGAGAAGGTCTCAGTCAAAGAGAGGGGGCTACTGGCTATCAAAATTTAGGGTTTTATTGTTTGGTGCTGATCCCTCTGTTAGTGGTTTCCAGGGTTTTATCAGTGTTTTTTGCGGTTAATTCCAGCATTAAAATTTCCTTAAATATCCCATTATTGGCACTTATACCGCAATTATTCATCTCTCCTCTCTGAGCTCCAAGTCAACCCTCAAGAAAGCTGCATTTTTCTAGGGTTTAATGTGTTTTGGCTCATAGAGAGAGCTTTTAAGGTCTTCAGGGTTTCAGGGATTTTTTTGGGGCTTACTAGGTTGTTTTTGGAGATTTCAATGGTGGTGGTGGATGGGGATTAGCTGTTGTTGTAGAAGATGCAGAGCTTTATACCTTCGTATTCTGTGGCCTATTCACTGTAAGCTCTTCTGTTCCTTTTCTGTGCTTTTACTAGTTTTTTAGTAGCTTATGAATATTTATTTCTCTGTGCAATTTGAGCTAAGGGTGTTACTGTGTTTGTTAGAGTGTTTTGCTTTAAGTGAGTTGTATTGCCTCTGTTTATACTTCTTTGTTGGTATGGGTTTGGCTTGTTGGGTTGCATATCTGTTTTTTTTTTGGCTTTTGTGTTGTTTCCGGTGGAATTTAGATTTTGATTTCTTTCAATCTATTATCTGTCTGTTCTGACCTTATTACTTAATGGTGTTTTAAGTTTTAACCAGCGCGGTTTGACCCTGTTCACCACTATTTATGCTACGAATGCTTGTATTATTGTAATTTCCTCCTCTGAAATGTTGCTTGTCTCACTCACAAACCAAGTGGTTATCTTCACTTGGCCAAAGAATCAGTTTTTTTAAAGCATTTGAATAACTGACATTTTTGGAATTTTTGGCTTAGGCTTTTATTTCTCAGTCACTTAGTTGTTGATAGTTGCAACTTGAAATCCCAAGTTTGATTCCAACCAGTGGCTACCCAAAAAAAGTTGTTTTGTACTTGACCAATGGTTTTTTTTTTTTAGGATTTGAATTATAAACACTTTATTAACTCTGGCGTTGTTTCTTTTGATAAATTTTTGTCAGTAGTGAGAATCGAAGAAGTCTTTCTTCTGCAAATTTGGTAGTTTTGTTTAATTGCATTTTTTGGTAGTTCAGGTTTCATCATGATTTTGGTTTTCTTAATTTCATTTTTTGGTTGCTGACAGGAAATTAGGATTTTGGGTTCTGTATGCTGTGAACTTGTTGGGTCTCTCACTTTTAATTGATTGATACGTCTAATTTTTATTTCACTTGGTTAGCTGAAGTAGGATTGTGGGTTTTATTTTTCTTTGAAGAAATTAATGCTGGTAATGAGTGATAAATGCTTCTATTGATTCCAGTCTTTAGTGTGTATTTTACTGTTTGGCGTGGTTGATTGTTAACATGAACTTGTTCGGTTTACTGATTTTTATTTGTCTACTAAAGTGGCACGGACGAGAGCCACAGCCACTCTCGTGTCCCAGACAACGGCTCATTTGATCATCCTGTTGCTTTTCACTTGGAGGATGCGGCCCCACTGAGTAGAAGTAAGGGTTTGACCTTCATCTTGGTTTGTTTTTGATAATCATATATGTAGATCTATTTGCATTTCTTGATTTAAAGTTTATTTACATTTTCTTTCTTCATTTGGTTTGATGAAAACAATAGTAAAAATAGCAATAGCACAGGCCTAATGTTTTGAGTGGTTTACATCTCTATACCGGCCAATGTAATTGCTCTTGGTATTTGTGGAAACTAGTTGTTGATCTATAACATTTATGCTGAAATTTATTTCATTCATCTGTTTCTTTTTGATGAAGATTCTATTAATCCAAAGCCAATCAGCCAGACTGTCCCCTCTAAGTCTTTACAATTTGGAAGTTTGAGCAAGGTATATGGCGTTTCTATGCTTGTGAATTCATATTGTTGTGTTTGGAAAGTGGAATTCCTTACTAGATTCTGTGTGTTTTCTTGCTGATTTATCTGGGAATGCAGCCACTTGTTTCACCGGGTGTGGCTCCTTCACTTGATAGAGCTGGTTCGCAACGCTTATCTTCACAAAAGGGGCAGCAACCCAATCTGGTTTCTCTATCAAGTGGTCATCTTGACAACTGGGCGGAGTCCACAATGGCAGATGGTAGTCCTCGTACTGATACATCTACAGATGTGGACACAGATGATAAGAATCAAAGGGTGATGCTATTCTATTCTTGTACTTCTTTAGAACAAATATGTCTAATGAAATGTTTCTTTGTAGTGATTCTTCCATGATTATTGAATCCTTGGATTCTTTTCGATGACTGCATTGTTCTCATGTGATTCAATTACTCAAGATTCATCCTTTTAAGATCCCAATAGGTTAGTGTTTTGTTTCATACTTTCATTTAAAACTTCTTTACATCTCTGCTTATTTTGTTCCCACAATGTTCTTTTTCTGTGCGATACATAATGAGGGATTCAATTTTTGGTGAAAATTGGAGTCCCCCCCCCCCCGGCCCCTCCCCCCCCCCCCAACCCCCCAAAAAACTGGATTGCGACACAACTTATTAATTATCGGAGGAAATTGATATGAAAAAATCGGTAAATACATTGTGTATCCTCTCTATACCTCTAAATCTCTCTCTTGACGAAGGATTGAGTTGAATGCTTACTATCTCACTTGGAGTTACAGTTGTTGCTATTTGGTGAAGCTCAATTCGATTAATGGGGGGCTTTGCTCCAAGCGGAGGTGATGGCTTGTGAGGCCACTCGCCTGGTTTTGATCTGGATCTTGCTCATTGAAGGAGATCAATTTGAACCCCATAGCCTCTTTATAGATCAATTTGAACCCCATAGCCTCTTTATACTATGTGCCACCTTTTTGCATGGTCTTTCTCACTCTTCCATGACTCTATGTTGAATTCCCTATTTTTAAAGAGACCTGAACCTTAGGATGCAAGTACTTCATGCTTGGGACCAATTTTCTCTGTGCTTTTTCTTAAATATTGGCTGTTTCCTTTTTTCTTGGGAAGTTCTCTGTTCTCATTACAAATGTTGTGGGGGGTGGTCAAGGATTGGCTCCTTGTTACCTTTTTGTGGTCAGTTATTGGGGGTACAGTGACCCCATTTAATATTATCTATTATGGATTTGCTTTCTTCTTGGCAGCTGAGCAGCTTATATGCCCAAGTATTTACTGGTGATGATTGTGTATTTTTTGTATTATGTGATCGTCTATGATAGGAGCTTAAGATTTGGGTTGATTGGATTTCTTTGGGAACTTGAATAATTGTGTTGCTTTGTATTTGCCAATTGTTGTTTAAAATGTTCTCATTTCATTATTTATTTGGTGCTTTCCCCCTTCCCACCCTTCTAGTTTCGTTCTTGTTTTGATTACTTTACTCTTTTCTTAAAGAATTTGGAAAAGTGAGTTTCATATGGAATGCGAGTTTCTGTTCTGCACTGTAGATATTGAGCTCAAGTGTCCTGAGAATTCTTGAGGATTATCTGACTTCACTGTCCTGAGAATTCTTGAGGATAATTTGACTTCACTGTGCCATGAGATGTCATACCCACCCTCTCTTGCAAACACATATAGAGTGCTTGTGTTTATTCTTGTATGTACACAGTACGTGGAGTGCATATTCACACACCCACGCATACATGTGATTTGGTGCACAATTATTGTCTTAGATGCTCCTGATTGTATCGGTGAATGACTGAAGTGGGTGCTCAGTACATCTGCAAATGATCAACTGGGGGTTTTTGTTAGAATATGAAATACTTGGTGCCATGGTTTACTCAGTACTAAATGTCGTCCCAACCTGTGCAGTATGAAGCAGGTCATAATGCTGCTATAGTCCCATCTGATTCCAGTGATAGATCCAAGGACAAGATGGGGGATCAAAAGGTTATATTAAGGGTTATATTAACAAACTGTGAATCTTAATTACCTTTGGTATATGGGAGAGGTTCTTATCATTTTTTGTTTTCCTTTAGTAGTCAGTCTGGGTTGTGGTTGTGGTGCTAATTAAGTTCCTTCCTTGACAGACACTTCGTAGACTTGCTCAAAATCGTGAAGCTGCAAGAAAAAGTCGCCTGAGAAAGAAAGTAAGTGGAGTCATATCTATCCCAATATTACATTTTCGGTTCTCCACTTTGAATGCCGCACGTCATACCATATTGCAAATAAGATGTCCATACTTGATACTCAAGTAGATCTGAAACCTGTTTCTAGTTTGGCAGCCTATAAGAAAGACTTCATCTATGGAATAAGCTATCAAACATTATATAGAAGCTAGATGAAACATCCATGTAGAAAGCAACTGGTTTGTACACCAGTTGACTGAAAGTAATTGTTGAATAACTGTATCTTTATATTTTCTAAAAGGCATTCATAGGGACTGTGAGCAGGTTCATTTGCATTTATTTTTGGAGCTCAAGTTTCTGGTAGTCTATTTTAGCTTTTTTCTTGCAGGTTAGAAAGTGTATTTGAGTTTTTTTTTGTTTTCAAAATCCTCCTGTACCTGTTATTTTTTGAATCTTTTGAATGCCTCCAGCTAAGAAACAAAAGCTTTTGAGAAATGTTTTTTCCTAATCGTTTTCGGTGGAGGAAGTTCAGGATGACTGTGAAATATGTTTGGCTTCTACAATTCCTGTGCAAATATGGCCTGTAGAAGAAGCTTTCAAAATTGTCCCATACCATTTTGAGTTTGAATTTGCACTGTGGGAACACTGGGCATATAGTGGCTTTGACATGAAAAAATGACTTTCAAGTATCTGAGAATTCTCCTTGATGTTTCAGATTTTATCTGTAAGTACATGGTAATGCTTGTAATCTTGCCTCAACAGCTGAGATATGTTCCTAGGAATCAGAATGCAGAGTATCAAACAAATTTGAATCTTCATGAGTTGATTATTGGAGTGTCCAAGTTGGAGTATTTAACTCTTTTGACTAGTTGAATTTCAAGACAATGTGTTAGTCATTTTATTAAGCTTAGAGCTATGTTACCAGAAGCACCTAGTGGTATTGTAACTCATTATCCATGTACTCTAATGGTCTCACACGTTCCATACTAATGGCAAAAATTCTCTAAATTTGAGTGCGAGCAAAAGAAATCTTTTGGGCTTGGAGTTTGCCCCGGGCTCCTGACTTAACAACTTCCTTTATATTATAAATATTAAGCAGTGATGCGAGGATGTGTGCTTCTTGTCTCCAAACATATTCCAAGGTCTTGTAATTGCATTGCACCAAACCCTACATTGGTTACCTTTCAATTCTGCATTAGGGGGTTGACATTGTTTCTTTAGATTTGAAGGTCGAATCGACTTACGTAGGGTCTAGATTGTTCTTGAGGAAAGTTCTTCGTTTCAAATGTATTATGCAACTACTTAGTGATTACTGTAGTGACTGTGGTTGGAGTTACTTCTTTTTGGGTCTATATTTGTTTGGTTGAATTAGGTAATTAATTCCTGATTATGGCCTCTTAAAAATCCGACGAAGCTTAACTAAATGGATGGCTGAAATTAAAAGTATATAATAGAGAAGGTCATTTCTCCTCTGCATATTATGGTATAGGACAAAAGATGCTGTTGAGTTTTATAGTTGGAGTATCCATTAAGGTGGCTTAATACAACAATGGTGGATGATTAGTTTCTTGCAAGGATGCAATATTAAATCCACTCATAGATTGTTGACATCATGCTTGGGGAGATCTTCAAAATATGTATGGATATGATCCTTTGGACTCTTTTTCAAGAAAGAACTATAGAGTAGGTATGTAAATTCTAGAATATTGAAGAATACACCTGTATCTAAACAGAAATAAGCATATGTATTGATAAACTATTATAACGTGGTTGTAATGTACTTAATTGTTTGGAGAACCCATTTTGAGACACCAAATTCCTACAATTATTGGTAATGTATGTCAAGTCTAGAGATCTTTAATAGTTGCTATTATTTCATAATGATCTGATTGACGTTTTGGTCAGTACATAAACCAATTTTATAATTCTTGAGAATCAATAAAAATAGAAGAGCGTGTACAAGTCAGTGTGATTTAAGAAAAAGAAAATCTTACCAATTATAAAGATGTGTATATTGGGAGTTAAAAGAAAAGTTAGAAAGAATGTAAGTTGTAAGGACAAGAAGGTGCATTAATTGTGGCAATTGAAGCCACTTTGCATATATTTGTTAGGCACCAGTGGAATGGGAGCAAGCGATGGTAAGGAATTTGCATTTAGTTTCTTTTATGGTACGTCTGGATCCTTGAGACAATGAACAAATATAATTGGTGTTAGATTCTGGTACGATAAACGGATTTTTTTCATATCAAGGCAATACTACCTAACTTTTGTTTGGGGAGAGGGGGGGGGTTCGAAAAGTTTATATAGGAAAATGGTTGCATTCTTGAGCGTTAGGAACTGACACCAAGTGCTATGAGTTGTCAGATGGGAAAATATCTCCATTGAGAACTTTAAAGGCCAGTTGGAATTGTGTATAAATCGCTGCACCAAGCTGCTTTATTGTGGATGGGGCAATTATGGCCTTAGAATTGTACCCCCTCCCAGTAAGCATCATTTTGGGTACATGTGGGGCCAATTTTCTATGTTAGTTGGGTTCGCACCGAATGCGTGAGAGAATGGCCCACACGTTTGTTCTATTGATGACTTGTGCAACCCAAGAAGGCCTTTATGGTTAACCTCTTATTTGCCTACAACTTGTGGTTTAAAAACCACGTGGTTTGACTTTAAATGAAATGCACCACTTTTGTGGTTGGGTAAAGAAATAACTTTTTGTTTCTAACGCACTCACAAAGTGGTGGCTTTTCATAGTTTCTTGCAAGTGTAAAAAGGCCAAAAAAGGTGATGTAGGGGGCATCACCTAAAATGAAGCCCCAACCATGGTTGAACCATGGTTTGGCGTGGCATCGAGATGAGCTATAAATTGAGCAAGCTAATATTCCATAATTTTCTAACTGGATTATATGTGGCTAGGAAATTATAGATATGACTTTTACCACATTTTGAGTACGTCCGGAGTTGTGATTTGGTAAGTTTTTGCTATTGTCATGCAGCATAGAGTGCTACCACGACACATGTCGACACAGACACGAGTCGACACGTGGAGACACTTGATAATTTATTATAATTCCAGATTAAAATGATTGGCATTGGGAGGGTTTGAACCCTACCCGTCTTGCACTCCTCCCGTGGTTCTACCACTCCAACAACTTGGCAAGTGATGGAATGAAAAATTATATTATATGTAGTATTTTATTAATAAAAAAGAAATGTATGGACGTGTCTTAGCCGTATCGGTTTTTTCTACCAACGAACTAGACATTTACGAGGCTTGTGAATGCCGACACCTGCATAACACTAGCAGCATGTCACAACATTCAGCTTAGATAACTGCGGTTCCTTAATGAATGTAGAAAATCAAGAATGATTAGGCAAAATCTTTTTTGAGGAAGAATACACGAAAATGTGTTCTTCGGTAGGAAAAGTGGAGATGATCTCTATGTTGTTCTACATATTCTGTATGAATAACGTACGATGACTTTGAATCTCACTTGACCCAACTGCATGCTAATAGTTTGTGCGGTTTTTGGGCCCTTTTGTGATGTGCACCCGGATGAAAATATCAAGGGAAGTAAACAAAATAACCTATGGGTATTAGTTGGAAACTAGGTATTTGAGGTGGGTAAGCACACTCACTCTAGTACTCTTGTTGATGACTGGGTAGCTGACCTCATCTCTCCCTTTTATTCAATAGAAAAATGGAAATGTAGAGAAGCTTTTTAGATCCAAAGATGAAATGGAAATTCAAATTGATAGTTCATTTCTAAGGATTAGATGGTTGGAAGGTGAAATATTTGCCTCAACTTTGAGACGCTATGTGATGAAAATGGCGCATCATATATCTATTGTTTTTTACATACAAATCCTTTATTGCATCAGCTGGAGATGCACACGATCGATTTTTGACTCTTATGGGACATATTAAATGCTCAAAAGCCTATCAACTAGATTTGTAGCTTTAAGATGTGAGATCTCTACAAAGATAAATGAAATGATAAGTTACACGGGTGGAATTGAGCTTCGTATATCACTGCATTGTCTAAATGGCTTGTTTCAACATTTCTATTATATCTATGGTACATGGTTTGTTTATTGATCTTGAAACCCAAGGACTTAAGTTAGGACTCTCTATGATCTGAAGTCCAAGTCAGGTATGACAGACAGTCAAGGCTGAAAAAAAATGAATTAAAATAAAGTAAAATAACATAAAATATGGGATGCCAGCCATAGTCAACTGGTTCCCATGTGTTTGATTGGGAACTAGCAGCCTGCCAATCCCTAGTAACTCATGCGAGTCTGAGTTGGACTTGCGAGTTTCCCGATACTTCTTGAAACATTAATAACTTCTCATTCTTTAACTATCCAGTTAAGTACACTATTCCATGAAGGTTATTTCCTGTTGATTCTGTGGCAAAAACATCGTTTGTCGTTGCCCTGTACAAGTCATGTTGGAAAAGATGTGAATATTGTTGGTCTTCCAAGCTCTTGATACATATGAGTGCATTTTAGTTTGAGATGGAGTATGGAAGGGTCAGATATTTACTAGAATTTGTGTTGCATAGAGCTTGAGGCGTCAAATAATGTGTGACAAGGATGCACCAAATAGAAGTTGTAGTGCCTGTTCCTCAAAGTTTAGATAACACTATGTGGTTATGATGTTATTGGATGGTTGGAAGAAGTATCAAAGGTTATGCTACAAAGATTGCTAATTAAACACTGTATGGTGGTTGTGATGTTATTGAAGGTTTGGAAGAGTCTTAAGGTTATGGTACAACGAGTGGCAATAAAGGGCCCATTTTGATGCCATCCCAAATCATGGTTCACCGTAGTTTAGGGTGTTGTTTTGGATGAAGTCCCATTTGTGGGTTGGCAGCTTGGTTTTTACCTTGTTACACCCTTTTTGCATGTGCATGCATCTGTAGAAGGCTGTTGTCGCGTGAGTGAGTAAAACAGAACTTGCCTTTCTTTTTCCCGACCACAAGAGTGGCGCATTTTGGTGGAAGTCAAACCACGTTTCCTAACCA